GAAAGAAGAGGTCCTGTCGGGGTCACCCAATCCCATCTCACTCTGTTACAGATCCGAGGGGCGGCTGTGATCTGTGAATCGGGTCGACTGTCTCCGAGGGGGACCGTGTCCATGCGGAGACTTGCTGACCCACGGCCTGTGGTTCTGGGACCCAGGCCTCTCTGGCACTTCCCTTCCCAGAAAGCACATCACTCCTGCCTGATGCTGTCACAGGAGAGTGGGCCCTCTGCTTCCGGGGCGGAGGCTCCCCGCGGCTCTCCTCCGTGACACTCTCCTGCCGGGGTGTCCCGCCTCACGTCGGGCTGAAGCCATCTAGTGAGGTGGCAGAAATGCCCTGCTGAAGGTGCGGGCCCTGGGGCTGAGGGCACGGGAGTCTCCCCGGGGACGCGCCCTGTGAGCGGGCACCAGCGTGGTCCAGCACCTTGGGGAAGATGGCTGGGTTAAACGCAGGCGAGAAGAGCGTGTTCACGATGACACACTCCAAAACTGAAGACATGGCTACTGTGTTGTTTCAGGGACAGAAGAGGGGCACGGGAGTATAGAAACCCACAGGAATAAACAGGGATCACTGTCAGGTGGATGGTGGTGACTCAGGAACAGAGCGCCAAGCAGCCCGCATCAATCAGGCACCTGTGGAACTGCCTGTCCATCAGCAGAGTCTCCTGGCCAATCCTGGATCTCAGCCAGTTCCCTCGACCAACTCCACTGGGACAACGGACTCTAAAAACCCCTTTCCTGTCCCAAGGCCTTCCCTTCCTGCCATAAGCCCCATAAAATTCCTGTCTGGTGGAGCCCTAGCGGTTTCTCCTCTGACCTCTTCCTGGCTGCTCTGCCGGTCTGGTTTCTCCTCCGACCCTCTTCGCGGCTGCTCTGCCGGTCTGATCGAGTTCTGCCTGGGAGTGATATCTCAATAAAGCCTTGTTCACCGGTCTTTTTAAAATCTGCCTCCTTTTGGTCGCCGCCGCAGCCTGACCTTACAATCACAGTTAATTAAAAAAATACCACAGTTAATGTGAAGTCAAGTGGAAGAGAGGTCTGTCACCTCAATGAAAATAGAAATGGAGCATAAAAATGCGAAACGGGAAATAAAGTAGCATAAATAAAGTCTGACATTACAATTGTGGCACCTTCCACTTTCAACACAGAAAACCTTGACAGAAGGCAAGATCTCATAATGATCAGTCTGTCATAAGCTAAAGAATAAAAAAGTTGAAAATAAAAGAATGGAGACATCAGACACTAGGCAAATACCCAGAAGCATCTAGGTAAAGACCCAGTGTCTGCAAGGCAGAGACGCCGGGCAGCTGCAGGCACCAGAGCAGAGAGACGCCCCACCCGGCTCAGTGCACCCCACCCTTAGCACACCCCAAGCTGGCCCCGGCACAGCAACACGGAGCCCTGCCCCAAGTCTAAGCAAGCTGAGCCTAAGCCCGCTGCCTGCCCTGGGGCTGCAGCCCTCACTGCCAGTTCCCTTTCCTCACCCTCCTAACCTCCTCAGACAGCCCGCACTCACCTGGGGGTTGTCGGTGCCCCTGGCACCTCCTGGGCCTCCCTCCTCCCCATTTAAGAACCTGGTGATTAAACTGGGCCCACTTGGATCATCCAGGATTATCCCCTCACTTTTAGGTCAGAAGAGCAGAAACCTTAACTAGTTTGCAAACTTAATACCCAGCATGCAACATGATGGAGTTATGGGATTATCCAGGGATCACATACCATGTCCTTGGGATGCTCTGCCTCCCACATGGACCAAACCAGAAGCGAGTAAGTGAAGATGGTCAAGACCAGGCCATGTGGTGACCAAGAGGCTGCAAGATACGGGACTTCACATCAAGTGAGCAGAATGCACATCTGTTCCAGAAGACACGGGACAGCCACAGACACCTCAGCACTGGTCACAAGAGGGTCAGTGCCAGAGAGGGTGTGAGTGCCTACCGTGAGCAGCATACATGGAAATGAGCAGGAGCTCAGAGGTGTGGCCTTCGGTAAGCACTCAGAACCCGGGTCAGGAGAAATCGGGAGGGAATGAGAACCGGCTGGAACCGACCGACACAGGTCAGGGGACATGCCCAGAGCAGCACCCAGAACACACAGTGCTGAACTAATCCCCAAGAATGGGGTCTGGAGTGAAGAGCTCCACACAGCAGCCTCTGGAGGAGGAAGAGCACAGCAGGGTCAGTACAGCCAACAAGGAGAGAGGACCTAGGTCCTGGGAAAATCAACACCACAGCAAAGCAGAACAAGCACCCCCAGCAGAAGCAAAAGGAGATACTTCAAGAGGGTTAATAAGAGCTATTGATTCTGACAATGTCAATCAAGACAAGGAAGATGAAATCCCTCCTCTGCCGGGCACCTGGTGCCTGCCCAGTCCACTCTGCCCGGCCTCTCATTGAGGAGCTCGAGCCTGGGACAACCGTGGGCCTTCCTTGTACTGTCTTCATCCAGTTCTGCTCTGGATCTGCAAAAACCCAGGAGCCGTACACGTGCCCTAGGGTTTCCCCTTTTGTGAAACTTGTGGCCTAGAAAAGCTGTTCAAGAGTCCAAGGATGCAAATAATGGCAAGGTCGACTGCGGTGTGCAGACAGAAACTGTCACAACCCAGGGACAACAGGAGCTGTGCGAAAAGAAAGACCAGTGCAGAGTCCCCAGAGGATCTCAGCTGTTTAAAATGGACCTGACAGGGGCTGGGGCTCAGCGGTGGAGCGCTCGCCTGGCATGTGCAAGGCCCTGGGTTCGATCCTCAGCACTATGTAAAGATAAATAAATAAAATAAAGCTATTAATAAATAAAATGGACCTGATAACACGAAGCACCTTCTTTGTAGTTGTCTCTGCCCTTTTTCTCTGAAACTAGAATTTCAGATAGGTTATGATTTACCTGATACTTAGAGGAACTACATGGTGTCTATGTTAGAATGTATTTAGTTACATTTAATGACCTTATTCCTGAGTTCTATTTTTATTACAGTAGTTTTTATTTCTATTATTGCTGTTTTAATAATATGAATAAAGGGCTTTGTGCTGGTAAACAGGACCTCAAGTCCACATGACACTGTTTCTCTAATGCTGTGCGTCCTTCTAACTGAATGGCTAAGTCTTCTGTGAAGTAGTACAGATGACACTCAGGTGAATACTGTCCAACCCCATGGAGCAGTTTGTCTGTGAGGGTCAGTGGCTGCTGTTGATGCTCGAGGAAGATGGAAAGGGAAGAAACAGGGTAACATTTTTGAAAAATGAAACTTCTTCTACATAAATGTCTCATGTTGTAAAATTATAATGCTGTTGCTTTCGTTCCATTCCTATGAATGCAATAATCATTCTCTTTAGTTTGTTAAAAAAAAAAAGAGGGACTGAAAATAGAGAAACAATTAAAAGATTAAAAACCTACAAGGACACGATAAGTAACTGTGTTAACGATTTTGAATCCCAAGATCAATTCAAAGGAAAAGAGACTTCCCAAGTCAGCAGGTGAGGCTGTTCTCACTCCCTTGGTGACAGACCCGTGACCAGCCCAACAGACCTCTGCCTCACCTCCTGGCATGGAATGATGTGTGCCCACCTCACACAGCTGCCGAGGGAGCTGTCCTGTCGATGGCAGGGGAGCCATCCGAAAGCTGGGGTGGACAGTGTGCCCATCCCAGCTCCTGACCAGGCATCCCCCACTCCCACGAGCTGGGCCGAGCTGTAGGCTGTGGCACGGGTGGACAGTGTGCCCATCCCAGCTCCTGACCAGGCATCCCCCACTCCCACGAGCTGGACCGAGCTGTAGGCTGTGGCACGGGCCCTGGACGGTCCTCCGTCCCTTCAGGAAGGAGGAGTCTCACCTGTCCCCTCTCTTGCATGGAGGTGAAGTCATCTGAAGTTAGGGGGAAGCAGGGCTGGCTGGTCAGAGGAGACGGCTTCCAGGCACACAGCCGAGGGCCAAGGGCCAAGCACGCCCTGGCTTGCCTCACCCGGGATGCTGCTTACCCCAACCTGTTCATGCCTTCGGGGGTCCAACACTGCACCTTTGACCCCTCGTGCTGGGTTTTATCTCGTTGACACTCTCATTCTCTGTCCCACTCATGGTAGGACCTGGCTGCCACCTGCCGCCCAGCTAATGGATGCTGGGGAAGGCCAGTGTCTTCCATTTCCCTGTGGCCTCCCCAGCCCTCATGCAGATCCCAGGGGAGAGCCTCTGCCCTAGCCTGCAGCATGTGAGTGGCCAGGCATGCTGGGCTCATTTCTGTGCCACTTTGCACAGACCACATGTGCCTCTGGCCGGGACCACCCTGGAGGGAACCTGGAAAAGTCACCAGGCAGACGAGAAGCAGGTTCCCTCTGAGAGGGGTGTTGCAGCTGGCCAGGAGGCCGGGCCAGGCCCTGTGGCCCAGGAAGCTTGACAGGTCTCAGGCTGGCTGTTCACCTGCAGGAACCACGACTCCCCAGGAGGCCCCTCTGGGGTGAGAGGGTGTGGGCCCCTCCCTGCCTGGGTCCACCTGCCTCTGCCAGGCCTCACTGGCCCTCTGGGGGGTCCAGGAACCCGGGATCTGAGCTGGCAGTGCTGGGTCGGGAGTGCAAGGCAGAGGTAAGGTGCCACCCTGTCTCGGCTCTCCTGGCTCCCCCGGCCTTGGGTCTGGGTCCTCTGGCCACTCACCCCGAGGGAAGAGAGGGTGCAGGGCCTCAGCACTGAGCGGGCATGCAGGTGGAGAAGCCAGGCGAAAGGACCTGCTTGTTGGCAGGACACGGTTCCCTGAGCTGGGGGTGGATGCACTCATTACTTGACAGCAGCTGGGCCACCAGGTGGGCCCAACCTTTGGTGCCAGTGGAGGGTGGGGTTTTCACCCTTGTCATTTAAGTCATGTGCAAATTCAGCGGCAGAAGGGCAAGATCAGGCTGTGACAGGGGCGATGGACCTGCGCTCACTGTGAGAGAACCCAGTGCTCTGGCCAGCAGGCTGGCACGGCTGAGGGCTCTGCCAGGGGTGAGGATGGGCGCTGCGGGCAGAGACGAGACGGAGTCGATGGGGGAGGCGCACAACGTTTATTAAACTCCGACAGTGCAGAGGGGCTTTCTGGAGAGGCTGCACTCTCCAGTCACCCCGGAAGACGCCTGGGGCCCACAAGTGCCTCCCCCAGGGGACATCCCTGTGGAGCTGGGCCCCGCACCCTCTGCCACTCCGCCCCATTCCTTAGACGTCCCCCAGGCCCCTCCTCTCCTGGGCGTTTCCCACAGGCTGCAGGAAAGGCAGCCCAGATCCCAGCACATGGCTGGATGGGAACGTGAGCCAAGGCCGCGTGGGCTCTGAGGGGAGACTGGGCACAGGGGAGAGAGCAGGGACCTTGAGCACAGGGACAGCAGGTCACAGGAAGTGTGCCAAAGCGTCAGACCAAATCCTAGACAGTCACACGGACACTGAGGACAATTCTCTACCATGTCACGGATGGGAGTTCCCCGAAGCGTTACAATACTTAGCAGTGCATGCCGATGCATGGAGACGGGCTCCAACTACCAAAGGGGGCGGGCGGCCGAGCCTGAGTGCAGACGGCTGGGACTGGTGTCTACTGCATGGACCGTCGGTACATAAGAAAACTACTTGTATCTGCGAGGAAGGGCAGGCGGTTTGTACAGAGTGCGCCAGCCGGTGAGGCCGTGGGCTCCAGCGGTCAGGTGCACAGAGTGGCCTGGGTAGGATTAGAGCGCGCCCATCCCGGTGACCTCGGACGTCAGCCTGGAACAGACAAAGGCATAGGGGTCTGTCATGGCACTCCTGTGAGGTGGGTGGGGGCGAGGTAGGCAGGGTGCAGGGCACCCTTGTGGCCTGGCATGTGGTCCTAGCAGCACACTTATGGACAAGGCACAGCACACAGGAGGCAGGCCGATTGGAGCATCCACAGGGACTTCTCTCCCTGCCCATCACTGTGTCACACTGGGGGATCTGGTCAGCAGCCATAGGCCCTGGGCCTGCCCCTAGAGGGCGATCCTGACCTTCTAAACCTCACTCCCCTGACCTAAGAAGGGACTTCATAGTTCTCACAAGAATAACTGTGACCTGGGTCAGCATCCTCTGGCACCCAGAAGGGCTCCAGCTGGGCTGTTGCAGTAGAATCAGGGCATGTGGGGGGCAGGTGCTGGAAGCCTCCCTGCACCCCATCTCCTGATTGGCCAACTCCACATCTGCCTGGTCCCTGCCCGCCCAGCAGTGTGGCCCAGGAGTGGAAAGGGGTAGACTCCACTAGAGCCTGGTCATGGCCCTGGGGGAGCTGCAGGGAAGGGGAGATGGGAGGGTGAAGTCAGGCTGGGGGGTCCTCATCTCTCCTGGTCAACCCCTTCCCACTTCACTGGGATCCCCTCGGGGAGGCACCAGGGCAGGAAGTCCAACAGCCCACGTGGGGCTGCCACCACTAGATGGCTCCATCAGCCTCCTGCCAGCTGATGTAGGGGAAGTGCCACTGCCTTGCTCAGCTCGGGACACAGAAGGAAGGGCCAGCTCAGCCCTGGTCTTCTCCCTCCTCCAGGAGTCTGCAAAGACCACACGGCAAAGTGTCCAGGCTCCCATGTTTCTGGACCAGTCTGGTTGACAAAGGCCAGTGGCCCAGGTCTAGGACCTCCCTGGACATGCTACCTCGCTACCACCCTGGATGGCCACTCCTCCAGTTTCCTGGCTCCTCACTGTAACCAACCAGAAGAGGGGGTGGCCCGTGTCAATGAGGAGACTGCCCAGTACACTCTGTCCCCATGTCCAGCTAGGAAGGAGAGTGTGGCTGGGCTCCCTCCTGCTTCAACTGTCCAAGCCGAGAGGTGGGCTGCAGGCCAGGGCTAGGAGCCCCTGTAGGGTCCTGTGGCCGTGGAGTCCCTTACCTGGCATTGATGAGATACTGGGCAAGGCTGATGTTGGCCGGGGTTCCCGTGATGGTGATCTGACGCTCCGATGACCCTTCAGTGGCATTAGCGATTTTGATCTGAGCTCCAGACATCTGTCGAATTTCATTGATTTTGGTCCCTTGGCGTCCAATTATGCAGCCTATTAGCTAGAAGGAAGGATGGAGGGACTCCTTAGAGGACATCCTGAGAGTCCCCTGCAGGGCCTCTTCAGGAGCCAGGGAACTCCATGTTCCTGGGCATGACCCCTGGCCCTCCATAGAGCAGCCTGGGCTCGCCTAGGAGGGCCAGGGGTACCACACGGCCTCTGCTCAGTACCCGCCCCACTGCTGGGGGTCCATCAGATCAAGAGATGACTGTCTCAAGGCCTTGCCACTTCATGCTCATTTCCTCTGGCCTGGACAGGAGTGACGGAGGCAGGCAGGACAGAGGCAGAGCCGGGGACGCCACGCCAGCGTGGGAAGGAAGACTCTGGCCAAGAGACGGGTGTCACACAGGCTTGCCGAGGGGATGCAGGAGGCTCATCTCCACCTGAGACCTGCCTTGGGTGGATTCTATTGGGACCCCCAGAGCTAGCTGGGCATGCCTTTCCTTGCCACTGTGACCTCCATTTAAAGATGGAGTGCAGTAGCTATGACCATGTGGTCACCGAGAGAGGGACCATTTCTTAAGCAGCTCAGGGAAAAGAGTGGGCCACCCTGGGCATGGGGGCAGTAGCCAGAGCCCCTCCTGGCCCAACCTGCTGCATGGGGGGATCAAAGCAGACCACAGAGAGGACTTGGCAGAGGAGCTAGGTGGCATCCCTTGCCTTTTGCCATTGGATTGGAGCAGAACCCCACATCTGCAGAGGGCTCTGGAGTGAGCATGGGAAAAGGAAGGTCAGACAGAGACAGAGAGCCACAGGCCACAGCAAGCAGCCCACAGGAGCCCACGCTAATGGCTGCACCTCCTGTGGGCACTGGCCCAGGAGCCAGGGCATGGAGATGGGGTCACGAACACTTCCCCTACTGCCATGAGATGCCGGGTGAAGGGGCTGGGCAGGAGGTGGGGGTGGGGAGCTATAGACCCACAAGCACAGAAGTCCCATCACACAAAGCTGGTGATGAGCAGCAGTCCCACCAGGTGGGATGTGTACTGCATCAACAGCTCTTGTCCCCACAGAGACCTGCTGGTTACCTGAATTATGACCAGTGGTCTCACTAGACTGCAAAGATCCTTCTTGGGGAACGTGGGGTGAAGCCTCCACTCCCCAGAACCCAGTCTCCCGCCTGTGTCTCTGGGCACTCCCACCCCTCCCTGTTCTCGCCTGTGTGGTTGTTCCGAGTATGCCTGGGCCCTGAGGCCAGGGATGTATCTTCCCAACCTGCACACGGCCCACGAACCTGTCTGGCAATGTGCCAGATCTTGAGGGCTCATCTTGGACCAGGGCCTGGCATGCTGGACCTTGAAACTGGGCAGGAACAGTTCTGCCCCGTCATGAGGGAGAGTACAGACCACCCAGTGGTCTGACCACTGCTGAGGTCCCAGCACCCATGGCCTCCTCTCCTCTAGGGTCTGTCCTGGACACTCTGCAGCCTGCTCTCCTTCCTGGGCTCTCCCCACCTGGGCATTTTTGCCATCCTCACAGTGCTGACCACCGCTGCTCTCCTCCTGGCCTGGTAGTAGTGCCCCCGTTCTCCCCTCTGCACGTGCCTGGGAGTGTTGAGGGTGGCTCTCTCCCCGGGCTTGGATCTCGAGGCCTCGAGCCCTCTCCCTCCTCCAGGCGTCCTGTGTCCAGTGCTGGGGATCCCCGCCATGGGAGCATGCTTACCCTCAGCAGAAACGCTCACTGGACGACACTGCCCTTGAGTCACAGCAGAATGTGAGAAGCCACAGAGCCCCTTGCCAGCCCTGCCCTAGGCCAGATACTTCAGGCACCTGCGACCCAAGGGCCCTCTCACTTGGCTCTCCTGGACCTGCTGGGCCGTCAACATGCAGCGCGGAGGCCACTCCCCTCTCACCTTCACACCCCCATTACAAGTGCAAAGGAAAGTAAAATGTTCTAAAAAACGTGGCTGCTTTAGCCAGATGCCACACTGAGCTGTGGCCGTACCTCCTGCCTGGCCTCTCCTCAGGAAGCCCTCCATGGGACAGCTTGCCTTGCTTTATACAGCAAAAGGCCCTGGTGACTCAGGACCCAGAAGGGAGCCTCAGCCTGGGCAGGTGGATGCTTGGGCTCAGGACAGAGCACAGGAGGCAGGCACGAGAAGCCACATGGCCAGGAGCAAGCTCTGGACTGGGCCAGGAGGGAGGCCCACAGTGACCTTGGGAGTGAACCAGGGTGTGGGGGCTCCCTGGCCTGGCCTGGGTCTCTGCTGTAGACCCACAGCACAGAAGTCCCACCACTGAGTGCCCTTCTGCAGATGGGCTGAGGCAGCCTGTGATGAGGCGTGACGAGCTGTGACCAGGAGCCTGACCGGGACGTGGTGATGGCAAGTGTCAGAACCAGCGCTTGATTTCCCTCCTCACCTTCACGAAGGTGGCAGGTGTCTGCCAGTTGCAGACCTCAGCCCTGGGGGCCTGTGCCAGTGGCTGCAGCCCAGAATGTCCCCTGAGGTCTGGGGTGAGTGGGAGGCCCTCCCCTGTTCCTGGGAGCAGGATGACAGGCCGTGCTTCCGAGTAGGCATGGGTGAGGGCGCTGCCACCCTTCTGAGGGGCAGGCTTCCCTCCCCACAGAGACCCCTGGGGAGGGTGGGCAGGCAGGACCGTGGCCCCACTTGAGCTCTGGAATGAAAGCTCGACAGGAGCACTTCCCTGGTGCAGGGAGCGGAGTGCCGGTAAGAGGCTGAGGGGAGGCCCTTCCTGGTAGGACATGCACTGCTTTCATCACTCAGGTGAAAGGACATGGCAGGTGCTGGAACCACCTGCTCAGGGAAGCCAGGGGGACCAGGGGCAGGGCGCAAACAAAGCCGAGATCTCCTCCAAGAACACAGGGTGGCGGTGCTGCCCTGGAGATGGTCCTGTGCTGTGGCCTGAGCTGAGTGCTGGAGTGGGGACCCCATGCTTCTCTACATAGGCTGGGGTCTCTCCCACCACGCAGCTGGAGGACAGGAGAGCCCTGGAGAGATGCCCTGGCTGCACAGAAGCCTGGCTTACAGTCACAGGGGATGCCCCATGATGGCGGCCACAGGCCTCATGGTCCCTCCACTGGCTGGCTGGCTTTCCTTGGCCTCTTGTCCTCCTGCCTGCCTGCTTCCTGCCTCAGGTTCCTGCCTTTCCAGCGCAGTGGAAGTTCTCACTAGTCCAGATCTAGAGTAGAATGACCCTGGGGTTCAGAGAATGGCACCCCTCTTCACCAGAACCCTGTGAGCCTGGGAGGACTGAGTGTGCTACGGAGGCTGGCTCCAAGGCCACAGCCTCTCCGTACCTGGATCCAGACCAGCCTGAGGCCCATGGACTTCAGGTCTGCTGAATCCTGAGCTCCATAGAGAGCTTGTGGGCTGTGGTGTGATGGGTCTATTCCAGAACCCACCCGGGCCGCTGGTTCTGCAGGGTCTGACCTGAACTAGGCCACAACCAACGGGCAGGTGTATTCCAGCCCACTCTGGCATCCAAGCTCTCCTCCACCTGAAGGCTCCAAGATCCCTTCTGGTGGGATATTTTAGGCATACAAACTTATATACTATAACTGGCATTAAACCAGCTTAACATGGAAGGGAGGAGGAGAGAGATCAAAGAATGGGAGCAGGGCCACCAGGGTGCCACTGGGTGGAGGGTGACTGTGCCCGCATTGGCCTTCGCGCGTGAGGACAGGAGGGTGCAGGGGCATACTCACATCATTGGGAATGGTGAGCTCGTGAGTGCTGGCCGGGGGACTGGCGTCCAGACCTGGGCACACCAAGGGGACATGGTTAGGCTGGTGGGAAGGTTGCTCCAGGTCACACCCCCAGGCCTGGCTACACTCCCCTGGGCTGGACAGGGCAGGGCTGAAAGGTTAGCTGAGGGCAAGAATCAGCAAGCCCAGGGGCTCAGACCCCATGAGGCCCACATAGCAACCTCAGTTCCTGAGCCCCGACTTCTCTCAAAAGGAAAATGAGACCCAAGCACAATGCTATCCCCCTTTGGTTCTGGGCACACCTGGACTTCACTCCAAATGTGCTCATGTGCTCCCCCACTCCCTGTGCAGACCCCAGCGAGCCCCGGGCTCAGCAGGGCATCACCATGTTTCAGGCATCCATGTGTGTCCAGGGCACAGGCCATGCTGACCCTGAGCACCCCTTCTTCCTCAGCTCCTGGAGACCTCTCTGGCTCAAAGCCTGCTCTGCTTGACCAGTGGCCACAGAGCACTTGCTGTTTATTATGTTTCTGACCCAACTCTGATCAGAGCCCAGTCCTGGTCAGCTGGGACAGCCCAGGTCGCAACATGGTTCTTTGCGATGGGAGCCAGGAGAACCGAGCCAAGATGGACTCTGGACCCAGCGCAGACTGCACTTCTGCAAAGCCTTCCCTCCTGCAGTGGAGAGTGAGGACAGAGTCTACCCACCACGAAGCCCAGGCTTTGTCTTCTCAGGGCTCAGTCTGCACACCACTGAGAGACAGCGCCTCAGAGCCTAAGCTCCCTCTCTGGCCTTGGAAATAGGGCACAAGGAGCCCTGAGATGGATGCCACGTGGCTGCTCCTGGAGTGCAAGAGGTCTCTGCACTTGGTGACCCATTTCCTCAACAAGAGGTGACTTCAACCTGCAAGGCTATGGCTGAGCCCTGCTCTTGCTCCTTCCAACCACCCAGACCTGCCAGGTGGCCTCGCCCTCTGGCCCTGCCTCTGCCCTTGCCTCAGTCTTATTTCTGCATAGCCCTGGGGGTCTCCCCAAAACAACCTCAGCGAGACCCACCTTCCCCACAGTGACCCTCAAGGACCTGGGCCCCCGCGCTGGCAGGTGCCTGCTCCAGTCTCCCAAAGGGAGAGGCCCTGAGGGAAGTGCCAAGCACCGTGGGATCCCAGTGGAAGTGAGTGGTTCAATTCAATTCACCCCAAATTTTGCTCTTTTTCTTTTGCATATCTAAACTTGGAATTTCTGGTCTTTATCTTCTTTTCAATACAATAATTACCTGTTTTTTTTTTAACTATCTGTACACAGTCCATAAATGGTGACATCTAAAATGTCACTTGAAAGATTCCCTTAGTCCTGAGTCCTGACTGCTCAGGATGAGACAGGAATAGGGGCCACACTTAAGGACTTGGCATGTTTTGACTGAGGGAGGAAAGTGGCAGAACTCTTCTTAAGAGCATATACCAATTGAGCGGATAGTTCAGGACTCTGTTCAGAGCACACGCTCATCTGTCTGACGCAGAAGCAGCAATTCCCAGCACAGGAGACAGCCCAGCCAGCCCTCAGAGCTCAGGCCAATGTTCCTCCTCTCCTACCCCTCTTCAGATGCTGCCCTGGGTGCTGCAGGGCTCCGGCCTTGGTGAGGGGAGGCAGCCAGGAAGCCAGACGATGCTGGCCAGGTGCTTGGGCAGTCCACACGGGTGAAGGGTACACAGCATTTCCAACACAGGGACCCAGGAAACCTGCTAGCTGGTTTAGCCCCAGCGTGGCTCCTCCAAAGGCTTCACACCCAGACAACGTGGGTCTCGTACCCTGTCACAGAATCCCTGCTGCAGTGTCCCAAGGGCAAACTTGTGATGCACATCAGAAGCGGGCACAGACAGGCCGTGCTCACCTTCCTCAGGTCTGCTCAGAGCTCTGAGGAACACTTTCTAAAAGGCAAGGTCAGGAGCTCCCTCCCAGCACAGCTGCCTCACCCCGAGGACCATGGCAGCAGAGGCCCTCCCCTCGCGGTGCACACTGCCAGCTCGGCGCATGCCCAGACCCACCAGCCAGCCAACAGCGTGGTGACAGCTACCTTGCTTGACCTTTGTGGGGCTCCTGGGCAGCGCTTGTCTTTAGTCCCAAGCCACTAATGCTGCCAACTTCTGGCAGGTGTGCATGCCAGGCACACAAACCCTGTCCCCAGGTGTGAGTGGGGTCCCGCCCTCCTCCTGCAGAACAGCCTGCTGCAGGGGCTGGGCACTCCTGGCCTACAGCCCCACCAGTGTGGTCTGCTTTACCTGACGACTGGCCCATCAGATTTTGAGCTTCTTCGGAGGAGTGTAAAGGCAGCTTTTCTCCTGGAGAGCAAAGAAGAGACAGGTTTAATGTTTTGCCCTCAAGGAGATAAGCAAGGTCCCTTCAACTAGGGAAGCTCAAAATATGACTGGCACTGGCACGGCTAACACACGGTGGTAGATTGTCACCGGCCACAGCCACTGGGGCTGCCAGATGTCGGGCTAGGCCACGGCCGGCTGCTCTGACTGCCTCACCACAGCCTGGGCTGGGCTGGCTCACATCACTGCTTTCCCTGGCAGGGCTGGTGCCATCCAGGCTGGGCCACCCTGAGAAGTGCAGCCACGTGTGGTTGTAGAACCTGCTCCTGGAGAGGAAATGCCCCAGGGCTGGCCTCCTGGATGCCTTCACAGGAAGGGCCACAGGACGGCCTGTGGGTAGCACAGAGCACTGCTGGCCAAGCATGGATCCACAGAGGGGCAGATGTCTCTGCACAGGCAAGGACACCCAAGGTCAACATGAGGCAAACTAGCCCCCAGCCGGACACGCTGAGCTGGCCCTGGCCCTGCTGCGTGCAAGCCCACTGCATGACTGCAGCCTGGGCCTTAGCCTCCGCTGCGCCTGCGCTGCTCGCTGCTCGGCATAAGGGCAGTTCAGAGAAAGTCCCCAGGTGGAAGAGAAGGAGGTCAGAAAGGGCAGCTGGGTACGTACCGGGGAAAGCGGGGTTGGTCTGTCCGAGGGGAGGAAAGGGGGTTTGCTGCATGGCCAACTGGTGGAGCTTGGTCAGCTGCTGGGGCAGGAGGGACACGAGAGCTAAGAAGGTTATTGTCATCGAGCACAAGTACACCAAATCAAAATGGCAGTAACAGAACTTTGCACAGAGAGAGAGAGGGGGGCCATGCGGACACATGGCAGACGCAGCAGGACTCAAGGACTTGGCCTGGGTGGAACCGGTGGGCCTGGCTGTCAGTAGCCGTGGGGCCTGAACCAGCCCTGCCTCCCTCTCACCAGGCCTGGTTGTGTGTGTGTGGGAGGCTGGCAGGGTCCTCGGGTCAAGGGGTGCAAGGGGGATATGAGGGCCATGGAGCAGGAACACTGGGCTTCTAAGGGTCTCACACCTCTGGGTTCCAGAGGCACATCCTCAGACCTTGCCCCTGCCTCGGCCCTGTCCTGCAGGTCTCACTTTAGACAGCGGCCTGGGAGCCTTGTGAGGGCCAGGCACCTTCCCTGCAGTCCTCTCCAGGGATTCCTGACTTACGTGGGGTTACAGGGCATGGCTGAGATCCCAAGGGACCCCAGGGCTGTAGGCTCTTGTGTGAATCAGCCTCTGTCTGTGCCCACTACTGTCCTGCAGGTTCTTCCTCAGTCCCCACCAGACAGGCTTTTCCAGGAGCCTCACTTCTTAAATAAAACTGAGAGGCTTAGAAGACGAAGGTAAAATGTGGTCAACTAGTCCACATTTTGGGAGCAGAGTTAGATTGCCTGGAATTCTCCCACCTTCTCGAGGCGTGGGGCCCCAGGGCAGAGGGCGCTGGCCTTCCTCAGGCCTGGCTCTTCCAGGGCTACGAGCCTTCTGGGCAATGTCCCAGCGGCCACAGAGACCACCCCTCATAATAGGCAGAGACTGGGGTGTGCCAAGTGAGGCGGTGGCACCTTCCCACGTGGAATCCAGCTCCTCCACACAGGACATGCAGGATAGCGGCAGCCATCCAGGCCTCCTCTGCACCCAGCTCCCTGCCCTGAGAGGGTCGGGGCGCTCTCCCTGGCTGGCCCTTCCTCACCCTGAGCCAGGTAGGGGCTGGGGTGGGCCTGTGGGAATGGGGTTCCTGGGGTGCTGGCTGGCCAGCCTGGCCCCTCCCTGCATCTACTATGTGGGATTCTGACATGAGAACAGGCCTGTGGCCTCAGAGATCACACCTTGGAGATGGAACTTAGGTGGGCGTGCCCCCAGACTGCTGACTGTGGTGAAACTGGAGAGTGCAGTCTGTTCCCTGCACTGGCTCTGGAGGGACACTTGCCTGTCAGATGTCTAGATCCTCCCTCCCCAGGAAAGGTGGCCATGTTTACACTGGGCATATCTTGAAAGCAGCCTTCTCCTGGCTTCCTGGCTGTTCCCTGAGCCTTGGTACTTGGGCTGGGTCTGCAGGGGGAGTCCTAGCTCGTCCTAGGAGCAGCTCAGGTCAAGGGACATGGTGACTTGGGGTCAGCTACAGTTCTGTGTCCCCTGAAGAAGGGGTGTTTGACAAGGCTACAGCAAGCCGAGAAAGCTAATGGTATACCTGCAGCCTGGCATGTCACAGCACCAGCTGCCCGCCCCAGGTACAGCACTGCCTGGTTCCCCTGGCCCACAAGAGTCCCGTGCCTTGACCTTGATGGGTGGTTAAACTTCCCGAGTGGAGCTGCCTGGTAAAGGCTAGAAGAGCATGGACAGGAGACAACATCACCAGGACCTCAGTCGAAGTCACAGGAAAAGCACTGTGCCTCCAGGCAAGACGGCCAAGGCCAAGGAACAGGGGAGACCATGTTCCACCACAGGCAGCAGGAGGGAGCAGAGCTCGTGGGCATCCTAGTGAGGAATGTGCTCCCAGGACACCCCTGGGGCTGCAGCCCTGCAGCAGGACCCGGGTTGCAGTGAGCCTCAGGGGTAGGTGCTGGGTGGGGACCTGTGTGAGCACCCACAGGCCTGGGGCATCTTGACAGTTGTACTCTGCTCACACCTGCTATTCCTGTGCTCTTATGTGCATCCGCCAGGCTGCCCTGCACCCCAGAGGAATAGCACCCCTCCATCTGCCCTGCATCTTTGGAGACCATGTGGTTGGATATCACCAGGACTGTGAGGCACACTGGCTGGGGGCAAGGGAGCTGGCCTCAGCTAGTCCATGTGGACACGGGAACTTCCGATCTCTATAGGCCTCAGTTCTCTAATCTGTAAAGGGGTCTGTGAGTGAAGGGCAGCTTTGGAGTGCTGCCATGCCTCAGCTGTGGCTTGCCCATCCCAGCTGCCCACCTACTCTGCAGCCTCACCTGCTGGGCACACAGGTAAAGCCATCTGCCAGGATGGCCACGTTACAGGTAAAACAAGTGCTTCTCAAGGCTGGCTCCACTGGCCTCCAGACTGACATTCAGAAGCTCAATTCTATCACCCTAACCCTCCTAGCTCCATATACTTTCTGTTTTTTAAGAGAAAATTGCCACATTAGCAAATAACCCGCCCCCCCACCCCAAAGATAGATTGAGGCCAGAGTGGGGCAGTGCTGGCGGGCAGTGCTGAGTGAGTTAGTGGATGGTGGGTTGGCAGGGGAAGGCAGCTGGCTTCTTTCTTATCTTGGCTTGGCCCTGCTTATCAGCCCTCTCCTCTTGGGACTCAATTTCCACTTTTTTTCTTTTTTTTAAAGGAGAGAACAGGACTAAGTGCTGAAGGAGCTTTAAAGATAATTCTAACATTTAAAAGAACCACACTTGTGGCTCCAGTGCTTTCAGATCACCAGGAGGGAGGGATAAAGAAAGGAGTGGGGCAGCTGGTAGGAGGAGGGGAGAGGCAGGGAGGCACCCCCCGCATTACAGCCAGGCCCCACTCTCCCTTCACTTTACGGCACTGGGACAGAAGAGCAGACCAGCACTGGGGCCATGAGTGCTGGCCCACACTGCACGACGCAGGCCCCTGTGCTCCCATTCAGGCCAGTGCAGACACACAGTGTTTCCATCTGCCCAGCACTAGCTGTCCAGGATGCCATGTCTTCTGCCCGTTCTCCTTCCTGGGTTGTCGCTGCTGACTCGGATGTAAACCTGCCTTGGTTGTCGGGCCACAGAGGTCTGTCCTCTCTGTTCATGGTGTCTTTAGGGAAGCAGGACTCCACATCTGCAGTGCAGTTGACCCACCAGTCCCCCATTCTGGTCTATGCTGGTGTTTTCTTTAGGAAATCTTTCCCCAATGAGAAAGGAAGGGAATTCTCCTGAACTCCCTTCTAAAGTGTCTCAGCTCGCTCTCTCACGTTGACCTTCTTGATGTATGAGGATGGTTTTGTTTGTTATGAATGTCCACTCTTCCTGGGATGGCCAGCTCTTGGGCATCATTTCTGAGTGATCCCTTTTCTCCTGGGTCTGCACTGAGTGGTTGCATGCAATAGGTCTCCTCACCTGAGGCTCAGATGCTGGGTGCCTGGTCACCGGCTGTCCCTCCTTGCACATGAAGTGCACTCTGGGTTGCCGTGACCCTACAGTAAGACTTGGTGTTTGCAAAGGCAAGTCTCCCTATCCTTCTCATGGATATGCTGATTATTCCTTTTTTTTTTTTCTCCCTCTCTTCTGTGGAAGCTTATTTTTCTTTTCTTTTACTGATGCATTGTCACTGTACACAGAGCTGGACTCTCCTGCTCGTACTTATAACACTCCCCAGCACCTCTCCTCCCTCCCTCCCCAGCCATGTGCTCCACTCTGCTGATCTCCCTTCTGCTGTTATTCCTGACCTATGCTCTTCCATATGTGTGTGTGTGTGTGTGTGTGTGTGTGTGTTGCTGGGGACCAAACTCAGGGCTTCACACATGCTACACAAGCACTCTACAACTGAGCTACACCCCCACCTTCCAAATGAATCTTAAAATGGCATGAAAAAAATTTTTTTTTGGATCTTGGCTGGAATTATATTGCATTTGTACAGCGATTTGGAAAGAACTGATATCTTTGCAATTCTTAGTGTTCTAATCCATGAGTATGGTTTGTCTCTCCTTTAGTTAGATCTTTTTGTCCTCTTTAACTTTTAATAAGGCAAGATTTTAAAAGAGTCAACCAGATTTCTCACTGCTCTTCCTCTATAACATTCTTCCTCTATATGATTACTTCTAAGATTTGACTTTGGGCCTTGGTTTTATATAGATGTAAGATGGATTTCTTTTTGTTTATCCTGTTTGGATTTGTTGGAGTTCCTAAATGTGAGGATTGGCTTCTTCTACTAACTTGGGAGAATTCTCAGGCCATATCTCGTAGTTGTCCTCTCCACTCTAGTAGCTCCTGGCCTCCGCTCACGGGCATGCTCTTCCCTGTCATCTTTCTTCACCAGTGTTTCTAGACTCCCATGCGAACAAGTCATGCGATGGGCTTGGATAGCCAGTGTCTGTTCCTGAGGGCAGGTGGAGGAACTGGGCTAGAGCCTTGCACTCAAGGGCACAGCATAGGAGGTGCTGCTCTGTGTAGGAAGACAGCTCCAGCCAGCACTGAAGGCTAATCTGGGCTTCCAGTTCTGTGAGGCAGGACTGCAGCCACCCTCTGGCAGTGGGTGGAGCTGAGGAAGCCTCTGTAGCACTCCTGATCCAGCATCTTGGCAAGAACACAGGCTCAGGGCCCGGGGTGTGGCCATCAGCTGTGTGTCCATGGGATGGGGTGTTGGCTCTTTCCTCTTTTTTCACCATCAACGAGAGGGTCCCTCGCCCACCTCTCTACAGGGTTCTGGAGGGAGATGATGAACAAACGGGAGGGGAAGCTCTCCACAGCTCTCTGCCCCAAGCTCTGCAGTACACAGACTTTCTGTTCTCCGCAGGTCCACAGTAAGTGTTCCCCACCTCAGAGGCACTGTGACAGACGCTGGGATGAAGGCACTTCCAGTACATGTCTGGCTGCACACCAGCCCACGTTTTTCTTTTACTCTGATACATACCTCCACATTCTCCCCACTATATTCCAAATAAAGAGCAGATTCCTTATCAGTCCTGGTGCTGACCACTCCAGAGTGCTCAGCACCCTCCATGGCACTGCCCCCCTCTCTGCCAGGGGAATCTCTCAGAGCTTCTTTCAGGTATGAGGCCGACAGTCCTGGGGTGGACCTCCTGGCTGTGCAGGCTCTGGAGAGGACAGATGGCAAATCCTCTGTCATTGCTCACAGGCTATGGTTTCAACTTTGCTGCTTTCTTCATCTTTCAATTGATGGGGAGTGGTCTGGAAACCCCGAAGGCTAGACATAAAGGTGCGTGCCTGAGGGTGCTCCTAAGTTCACCGAGGGCCCCTGACTTCCACGATCTGGCCTTGTGGTGGTCTGAACAATATGCACTCAGTAGAAACTGCCTGGAGCTTGGACCTTCTTCTAGCTGGTGATTTGTGCTCCACACTCCACGGGGATGCTTGGCAGCGAGAGTTCAAGTCTGCCATCATGACGGTACAGAGCTGACCCTGGGCTGTGCTGTGGCTAAACCAGGAGACTCGGCAGGTTGTGCTTTAGGTGCAATTTCTACTTATGAGGGCTTATCGGGACACACCCCTACTGTAAGTCGAGTATGTGTGCAGTTTCTCCAAGAGGAAAGCAAGCCTTTCCTGGAGTTAACTGCACCACTGTAAGTAAAATGACAGAAACAGGAGGAAGCAAGCCTTGCAGCCCACCCGGTCTCCATGTCTGTCCAGGGTCTGCGTGCCCTCTTTCCTGTTCCATGCCCCAATACTGGTGCTGTTTCCCTTCCGTGAATCTGGACCACACCTGACCTGATCCTGGCAGGACACCATGGTACATGGACAGTTTTCCCAAGGCTGCTGACCACCATTCTGGGGAACTTGGGGGTGTTGAACCAAGTCCTCCCCCTGCTCAGCAGCACTCTGTGCCTCTTCATGATGCCTGAGCCTCCAGAGCTCCAGGAGCGGCCAGGGGTTTGGGTGAACAACGCAGGGGGTGTGTGGAGGGCAGCAGGGAGCTGTGGGGTAGGACAGTGTTCAGGATTATTAAATAAGGGTCCACTTAAGAGCACCTAAAAGCATTGTCTGAAACCAGCACAGGACATGCGAATGTTCTGGGTCTAGACAAAGCACTCAGTGGCCAGGAGCAGACCTTATCAGGTCCACACGTCTGAACCGGACATGCACAGCCAGACAGGAAGTTAAGCTGCCGAAAGAGACTACAGGACCCAAGTGCTGGCCCCTGTGGTGAGCATGCACTTTGTATTCAGTCACACTGTGAAATAAGTCAGTTAGCTTTTCCTGTACTCATATTTTCCTTCTAAGAAACTGAAGCCTTAAAATTCCTACAAGCACGCACGAAGCTCAGGTACATGCACGTCTGGAGCCACCATCACCTGTGTCACTAAGCAATCGTCTTGCCTTTGCTTTCTGTGGGTTATCCAAGTGGTTGCCCAAGACTTCATTTCATGTGCCTGCAAGAAAGGCACTTGGAATACCCTACTCTGCTTGCAAGTCACATGACACTGCTACAGAGAACAGAATGACTTCCACAGAAAGCCATCTCAGGACAAATGACCAAGGCCTAGTCCATTCGGGCTGCTCCAACCAAAGACCTTAGACTGGATAATCTGCAGACAGCATAACTTACTGCTCACAGTTGACGGGCCTGGAGGCCTAGGATCAAATGCCATGGGCTCTGAGTCTGGTGAGGGCCCCTGTCTACTTCCAAGGTGGTGCCCTGAGTGCCATGTTCTCATGTGAAAGGGACAGAGGGGAGGCAAATCCTCCTTCCCTTGTTTCGTGTGTGTGTGTGTGTGTGTGTGTGTGTGTGTGTGTGTGTGCGTGTGTGTTACTGAGGATTGAGCCAGTGGTGCTTTACCACAGAGCCACAATCCCTAACCCTTTTAAATTTATATTGAGACAGAACCTCACTAAGCTGATGAGGCTGGCCTGGGACTTGGGATCCTCCTGGCTTGGCTTCCCAGTCACTGGGATCACAGGCACCACCACCACATCCACACCTGAGGCGTCTTTTTAAGAGCACTAATTCCACTCACGAGGCTCAGGCCTTGCACGTTTCTCCCCTTGCAGAGGCACCTTCTGAGGCCATCACTGTCACAATTAGGTCTCCACATATGAACTCTGGAAGGACACATTCAAACCACAGCACCAAGTACTTCAAATCTCACCACACCGAAGAGGCGACTGCATAATAGTTATTCATTAGCTTAAACTAATCTGAAACAATTTGTAAACTACCTACTGGAGAGGTACTGAGGAAAGCCACGTGGGGAAGAGCAAAACCACCACTCAAAACAGATCAGCCAACCAAACCAATCGAAATCTCACTCCCACACACACGCCTAAGCCGCAACCTCTGCAAATCTCAGTCCAGAAATACCTTTCCATCAAGGCAGGTGTCCGTACCTTCTCTAAAAGATCAGTGCGAGCTTTGGACTCTTGCCTGAAGGAAACCCACCAGCTTGCCAAATGGTCCCTGCAGGTCAGGAGGTCTGACTCTGAAACTACCATCTGGTGTAAAGACAGACAACACTCAACCTCTTCAGCCAGCTGCCTCCACCAGGGTGCCAGACTCTGCTGTCTGTGGCTCTAGGTTTGACAGTCAGACTTTGGCATGTGTGTGTGCACACATACATTTCAGGAAGACTGGCCATCCTGGAAGCCAAGCCCTGGCCCCACCTGCCCCCTTCACTTCAAGTGCTCTACAGTGGCCATGGGCCACAGTAAGGCAGCCTCTCTGGGCATAGGAGTGCACATGCTCTGCTTATGTGGCACTGACAGCTAAGTGCAGGCCGAGGGAAGAAGGGATGTGGCAGTGGATGCAAGGTGGCCCACGGCCTCAGCCTCCAGGGTGGCCATAGGCAGATGTGTCCACAGTTGACCAGTCATAGCAGTATCAGTCACGTCTAAAACCAGGAGCCGATATACATGCCTGAGTGTGACTGCAGGTGAAAGGACCCCTCTTATCCTTGTTTCTCCATCATTGACTTGTGTGTGCTTCATTTAAAGGAAAAATAAAACCCAGTAGTATTCATCTTTCACCCAATAGAAATTTTCCTGCAATGATAGTGAACTGCCTCTATTTCAAATTCTTTAGTGGTAGTTAATTTAAAAAAAATCTCCCCTGTCCTGCCTTCAGCTCTTATCCAGATGAGCTTCTGCTTCCTGCTCAACTCAAATGCAAGGATCTGGAGAGGACTGATGGGCACCACAGGCTCAGTGGGCCCGGCCCTGCCTGATGGCTGCCTAGCTCTGGGGCTGAGTGGAGATTGCACAGACTGCTGCAGCCTCAGAACTAACTTGCACACACAGAGGACCCTACCTGGCTGCCTTTCTCCTGTTTTCCCCACTCCCCCTCATCTCTGTTTTCTAGCACAGACCCACTGACTGGTATCTCTAAAGCCTTCTCAAGAACACCCTCTGCTCATGGCTGGGGCCCTTTTCCTCTGGGCCCCTAAAGGCTGTAGCCCCACTGCTCTAGTGCCACTGTGGTCCCCTCTGCACCCAGATCTCTGCACAAAGAACTGCTGTACCAATTGTACATTCAGACTCTCCTGTGACCAGGAGATACCTGAGCAGACCCTGGTCGAGGAGCAGCTCGACAGGCTCAGCTTGAGTGGCTCAGCTAGGAGCCCAGGCGCCAGAGCTACCATGTGGCATCTCTCTAACTCCAGGAGGAAACGAGGGCTTGCTGGCTTTTGACACTGGGGTCTGTGCATGGTGCACTCTAAGCTTCAGCCTGGGCTCTGGAGGGGACTGCTTTGCTCCACCAGGCACTCAGGTGCCGTTTCCAAGGAACCTTAGAAGACCCGTCTTGAAAACATCGCCCAACTCCTTAGGTGCACCTAGAACACTGCGCCCACACCTGCTGCAGACGGTGAGCTGGCACCCTGCCATCAGGGCAGGTGGCTCCTGCAGGGTGGGGGCCACCGCAGCCATCTCAGTGTGTGGGAGGGAGCCCTCGACTGTAGCAGTCAGCGGACACAATCTGCCATCAGGCCAAGTCCTCAGCACAAGCGGAATGAGTGCCAAGAGGTCAAAAGGTTATCAAGGTCATATGGATACAACACGGGTCAGGAGCACTGAGAAAACTGGTTAATATTATTATGTAATATTAATATTAGTAGCAACTAACAGCGGCATGCAGGTGGGCACACGACAGAAAGAATAGAAGGGTGGAAGGTAGACAAAGTGAAGACTCACATCCGGGTGGGGGATGGCGTACTGTCCCTGGATCGTGTAGGCCTGGAGAAAGAGAGAGAGACCTTCAGCTTATATTGTGGCAGAACTCGGCCTGCCACACCCTGGCAACCCTCCCCTGCACAACAAGAACCCTCTGGTGACAGCCTCTCCCTCGGTGTGCTCCTCTACCTGCTCCTGTTTGCTCAGGACAAAGGCCACTGTTCTCAGGGAAGGAGGCGGCCAGGGCAGGCCAGAGAGCTGCACCCCTCCCTGAGCGGCCACACCAGCAGGAGGCAGGGGACGACTGAGCTCACCCCTTTTCCTAAAAGAAAGCCCTGAGGGTGACTGACTTGACCCAAGTGAGAGGTCCATTAGTATTAATCAACCCTCAGAGTAGATAGTGGGGGAAATATTTGCCCCCAAGACATTCAAACAGAAAAAGAAAGCTTTAAAAGATGACCCAAACCTGCAAAAGCCAGATGGAGGAGATCTCATTCGGCCCAGTTGGTTCTTCCCATCAAATCTACAGTTGCATCCCGAAAGGGGGGCTTCCCTCCAGAGTGTCTATGGGACCCTGGGACTTGTTTTCACCATCTCCTTGCCTGAGCTCTGTGACTGAGCCAGCTCAGCAACCATCCACTCTGAGGGCCTGCCCACCTCACCCTGATGCCCCAGTGATGGCAGAGCCCCCGTGGTCCCTTCAGCCCAGATGCCTCCTGTGAGTCAGAAGCTCCTGGCCAGATCACGTAGGAGCCACGGAGTCAAGGGAGAGCAGGCGCACAGAAGGTGGACCTGGCTTTGCTGGGGGGCCACCAGGCCTGGTGGAAGCACAGAGTGAGGATGTGGTTTCTGGCACCTGGATGTGTGGGGCCCCCATCCCAAGACGACATGTGTCGTCCACTTGTTCTACACTCAGGGTCGCCGATGTCTGAGAGGAAGACCTCAGGGGAGACCACCGTCACTTCTCTGTACCCCAGGCCCTCCCACAGGTTTCTAATCTGTCCAGAGTTTTCATCAACAACCCATCCCAGGAGTTCAAGATCAATCTACCACCCAACAGGGACCCAGCCGCAGTCCAGCTCTGAAACAGATTCAGGCCCAGTGGAGCAAGGTGCTGGCTGGGACAGCCCCACTGTGCTGATGGAGGGAGCAGAGGAATCTTACCAGATACAGCGATGTTCTAGGAAAGGAGCAGGGCTTGGAGACCCAGCCTCAGGCTCTGCAAAGTTGCTGCCAGGGATGTGCTCCTATGTGTTAGCTACTATAGGGACCTCTGCAGTACCCATGGGCCAGGCCCCTGGGACACAAGGGGTTGTTCTCTCTGGGCCCACAGGTCTGAGCTGAGTTGTGAGTGAGTGAGTGCTGCTTAGGTCACTGCTCATTGTGGACCGACTGACACCTGCCTGTTCCCCATAGGCTCTGCCTGAGGGTGCCCCGGTGATGCCTGCAGTGACAGCTGTGTGGACAGTGCTGCTGAGCACCCTGGCCTGTGGCATCGTCACTCCCCTGCTCAAGGGGATGAGTGCCAGGCTCCCTCCTGTGTCTGTCATGCATGCTACTCTTGGGCATGTGGGGGCTTGAGTCCTGGAGAGCTTGGGTCATGGCCTAAGCAGATACTTCTGAGTTCTGCTATACCTCACTTCTCAGTTTGCATTTTGGATCCTTTCCTGGGTGACCTGCACTCAGAAGTGACTCCTGTGTGACTATCCACGTGTCACAATCAAGGCCATCACTGGCTACCACACTGTTCCAAGGGCACAGTGGTGGGCCCTACAAATGCCATGGCACCGTGACCTGGAGGGCACATGGCAATGACTGGAGGGGTGGTGCATCTGCCTGTTTCACAGGAAGATGGGGTCCCCCTGTGGTGGCTTTGCCACCAGAGCTCATGTCATCTGGCTCTGCAGACGTGTCTGTATAAAGGCACCTCCCCTGGAGTGAACGAACCCCAAATTTCACTGCATATGCCATGAAGGGTTTGCTTCAACACTGGGGGAGTCCCCAGGGTCTGCTGACGCCAACCTCCATGAACTCATGGGAGTGTGCGGTGGAGCTGGAGTGAGGAGGTGCTGCATGGCGTGTGCTCCACCAGGGCAGCCTGCAGCCCTTCACCATGCAGGGCCTGGCTTTCTGACCTGCAGTAGGGCATGGGCCACATGCTGGGGCTACGTGAGGACGGTGTGCACAGGAGGGCTCCCTGCTGACAGAGGGGCAGACCAGAGGCATGAGACAGGTGGGGTGGGGGCAAGCCTGAGGATGCACCATGTGTCTGGCCAAAGGAATGGAAATGCAGGCTCCCTGTCCCTTCCTCTACCATGGGCCCGTCGCAGGATCTGATAAGATTTCTCCACACCAATGAGAAAGACTTGAGGAAACATTTTCCTTGTCCTCCTTTTTAGATGATAAACTCCCATGCCCACTCCACACCGGCTGGACCACCTGTGGGGACATCTCTCTCTCAACTCTCCCTTGAACAAAGACAGACATCGCGGCCGGCTGGACACAGAGCTCTTTCAGGTCAACCCCAGCTGGACGTGTGCAAATCATCTGTGTGGATGGGCAGTATGGCCTGAGGTGGCCGCAAAGGAGGAAGCCGGGGCATGGCCCTTCTCCTGCCTCTTCTCCAGGGGTCTGGCCCAGCCAGAGCACACAATTCCTCTCTACCCCATCCTTCCAGGTTTCTTCTCCAGGAAAACAGGGGTGGGGGGCTAAAATGTGCAAGATCTGGGCTGTCAACGCGGGTGCTCTGTGATTTGAGGACACCTGCTAGGGCAGGTGTCAGGGTGGGGGTGTCAGGGCCAGCAGGGCCAGGGCTGCCTGGCCTGCAGCTGCTCCTCCCTCCTCTCGTGTTTGCACAGCTCCTACTTGGAGTGTGCTGTGGGGTCTGGGGACCCTAGTTCTCACAGCCCCTGTGGCCTCCAACACGAGCTGTAAGTTGCCCAGGTGCCCTTGTCTCTACCCAAGCAGCTCAGTCACACCCAAGAACTAGGTTTGGCAGGTGTGGCCTGGGCAGAGGTCCCTCCTGTCTAGGTCAGGGGCCACACTCGGGAGACCTGTCTCCCTTGCTCCCACCCGCCAACTGGTGTGGGCCAGGAGAGCTCTGCGTCTGTCCGGTGGGTGGGAGACGTGCACGTGAGAAGGCGAGAAAACCTGAGTGCACTAACGGGCAGCGGCGGGTGCTGCAGTAAAAGGCTGAGGTTGGCAGTGGAGGCCGCGAGCGGGTCGGCTCTTACCTGACCACCTGCAAAAATGACAGGGGTGGAGGCGGGCTTTGGGCGGTAGGGAATGGTGGCACCTTTCGGTGGGGACTAGGAAAAGGGACAGGAGAGGGAGAGAGAGCGTTAGAGAAGCCTGGCAGCTGGCCGTGGGGGCTGCCTTCCCGAGCCCGCCCCTCTGCATAGACCCCAAGCTCCAGACTTGGCCCAGGCAAGGGCTCAGAGGCTGTGGCGGTGCTGGAGGGAGCAGCCCAAGCCAGGGGGCACCATGAGGAGCCGAGCATCCTCGAAGCACACCAAGGGCAGGGCAGTGCCCCCCATCCTCACGGCCACTTCCTCCAGACAGGCTCCTTCCCACCAAGGCCCCCACCCCCACACGACCCTGCCGCCCAGTCCAGTGTGGCGTGTCGGTTATGGGAGGCCAGCAGGGCAGCCACCTGCTCGTGGGACCCTGCTGAGGGCTGCTGGCTGAGGTGGGCTTTGCAGTGTTCGCTCATCCTGCCGCCACCCTTCCTCCTGGGGTGGCCCTCGAGGACCAGAATGTGCATGGCATCCATGAGCTGGGCCTGGCTGTGACTTCACAGGTGGACAGCTAGGCATTCTCTGACAGAAACGCTTGAGTTCTCTGGCAAAAGCTGAGCCTCGCACACAGCGCACACAGCGCTGTGGGAACTGCTGTCCAATGCCCCCAGGGCTTTCCTGGTCCATGACAACAGTCAGTAGAGATGGTCACAGGAAACTCATAAACATCCAGTGTTGCCATTAGAAAAACACCATTTTATTACGTAGATGCCAAATGAAGTATTCCACAATCAAGATGAGGTTTGCTATAGTTTTCCTTGGTTATATTCTGTGTCCAAAGTATAGGATTCTTATCTTAGGTGAAGGACATTCTTAAGCACCATAACCTTCCCCAGCCCTCTTCACCTGGTCAGGAGTGGTCAGCCACTACCTGGCCCCACTCCCTGTCCCCTGGGAGCAGGTCCGAGGGATGGGCCAGGAGGCACTGAGGGCTACAGGCTGTTGCAGCACAGGGAGGCTGGGGATAGCCTGCCCTGTGGGTGTTTTGGGGCCACAGACCACTCAAGGGCCAGTGGCACCCCAGGCCTGTTGGGTGTGACCTTTGAGCACACAATGGGGGACCCACCCCTCAGGGTGGGCGCAGTGTCCATGGTGGCACAGGTCTTGCTGGGTGACAGTGTTGTGGTGGGGATGGTGCAGAGTGGGCGTCAGCAGGCCCAGGCTGGGTCTGGGTGATGCCAGCAATAGGGAGGCCCATCTTCTGTGTTCGTGGGGTACTGACCAAATGCCTCCAAGTGCCTCCATGCAGACCAGGGCTCGCTTCAGGCCAAGGCTTCGTAGTCAGACTCAGGGTTGGTTGTAGAAGAATCATGCTGGAGGGCCAGAGTTGACCTCTGTACTGTACCACTGCTGCCCTGCCCCTGGCCGACCTCCTCAGCCTCTCAGCCCAGAGCTCCACTCCTTGCCCTGTCCTGCAGTACTGCATGACTGTAATTCCCGATGCCCTTCTCACCACAGAGGAGAGGCTCTCTAGCAGCCGCTGTTCCTCAGGAGGGGCCAAGCACAAAGACCTTTCCTTGACGGGCACAGAAGTGCAGGTGGCCCACTGTTGTGACACCTGTGTTATCTGCAGGCCCCACGCAGGCTCATCTGTCATGGGACAGCCCTTTCTTTTGCAATTTTAGGAGTGCAAGGCATACCCCATGCGCAAGCCCCAAAGTCCTCTGATTGACAAGGAGGGCCTCAAACCATCCTTTGCTTTTATTTCCAGCTACACTGCTTCTGTGGGTGATGCACCCTCCTCTCCTGGGAAGAACGGCTCCCAACCTTCTGCCAGCCACAGGATGTGAAGAATGGGTGTCTTGTCAGGCCCACATCCATCTTCTGTTTGTACCTGCAGCTTCCCTGTCTCCCATGTCACACCATCAGGAGGAGACAAGATGGTTCTCACACTCAGCCTGGGGCACCGACATACCACAGCCCATGGCCCTACCTGCCTCTGAGGGGGCCGGTGTCTTCCCACCACCACCGGCAGGCAATCAGCTGGAGGAATTTGACAAGACCATACACTTTGTCCTAAGATCTGGGCACCATCCCTGACCAGGGACGTAGGAGGCAGGGTCACTGGCTGCCACTCGGAGGGTGCCACTTGCAGGCCTGTTTGGTGAGCCTCGGGTTTCCAGTTACTCAGACCAGCAACACTCTGTAACCCTGACCAGCGTGTGGGGGAAATTCACAATAAGAATATTTTGAAAAGTGTTTTAGACTTCTCAAAATATCATACCTCATGAAAATAAAATCATGAGAAATTTTAGAATTAAACATGGGGTTTGAGGCTGGGTATGGTGGTGCATGCCTGTAATTCCAACTGCTCCAGAGGCAGGAGGATATCAAGTTTGACGCCAGCCTGGGCAAATCAATGAGACCCTATCTCAAAATAAAAAGGCTGGGGATGTAGCTCAGTGGAAGCACACCCCTGGGTTTAATCTCCAGTGCTGAAAAACAAAGAAACACGGAGTCGGAGCGCAGAGCCAAATATGAAAAGGGACAGAGCCGGTGGCCGTCTAGCAAGGCTATGGCTGCTGGGGGACCCCAGCCCCAGCCAGGTGCGATGTGGACGCACAGCCTGGCCACGAGAGGGGGACGGAGGGGAAGCCAGCCGCCCGTGAGGCAGGAGGACCTTTCTTCTGGGGTGGGCTTGCTGCAGTCGCTTCAGGAAAGACAAGCAGCTACTGACAGTGCCGTGAATTTGGCTTCATTTTGGCTTTGACTGGAATTTGATTCTTGGGTTCTTTCCTCCTTGTCTGCTGCGACTCCTCTGCTTTGTTTTATCCTTCTGTCCCCTCATCTCTATCTCCATGCTGGGCACTTTGTGTGTTCGTCCTGAGTCTGCCCTGTTGGCCTCAGAGGCAGTTCTTGGTGCCATCTGCAGACCTGGGGAACACGGAGGCTTCCGGCCCCACCCTGCTGAGATGGGCACTGCAACCCTCCCTCCCCCCTCACCTCCACCACACTGGCCTCCACAAGGTCAGCCCCTCCAGGGCGGGCTCTCTCTGGCCTCAAACTCTCTCATCAGGACAAAGCTGTCCAGCTCCAAAGTGAGAGAAGTGTGCTTCTTCCTGTGCTCTCTCTGAGCTGACAAAGGTGGCACTGATGCTCCAGGCAGAGGGGGTGTTGGGGGGCAAGGGCAGACCCCAGCTGCCCTCCCCAGGGAACTGCAGCCTGGGAAGCTGGGTCTAGGGACTTCCAGATCCTCATGTCATGCCCCAACCAACCGTAGGAATCCTCAGCATCAAGGAGGTGCCTGGGCTCTGCCAGGACACAGAGTGAACCCAGCGCTGAGCGCAGAGAGGGTAGGCTGGTGACGTGACTGTACCTCCAGCATGACCACACAGATCTGCTTGACGCACTGTATAATGGCATCTGGCGTCCCTGAAATGGTCACTGCCCGCTCCGTGGAGTTGGGCAGCATGTCCCCGGCCACCTGGACTTGGGCACCTGTGGACTGGAGAAAAGGGACATTGGAAGTGGACAGTAGAAAAGGAGGGTGGTATTGTGCACAGGATACGTGGTATCTCCAGAGTCTTGGGGATACTCAGGGCAGTCTACACAACGGACAGCCCTTCACTTGACACAGGGCCTGGCTGGCCATGCTGCACAGGACCACAGTGTTGCCCCCTATGTCCCCTCCCTCCACCCCTGCCTGGACACCCAGCCTCTGCAGTCTCCTCTGGGAGCACATGGCCCTCAGGCAGGAGGCCATGCCCCTGGGAGGGCATGGAGTTTGCAGGAATGGACTGCTCTCTCCTCACCCAGAACCCCATCTCCTCCAGAGTCCAGGTCGCTTGGGGACCTCCTGGGGAGGGGTCAAGTGGGTGGCTGCCTCCCATGTCGGGGAGGCTCAGCTTTCCCTGGGGACTGGAGACCCTTCCTAACCACCAGCAGGGCTGCTCCCTACACGAGGTCACTGTGTGGGTCCCCCACGCTCCACTTTTCATTAGTTCATTGGACTGACTGTCCCTGTTGCATGTAAGCGTCAGGCTATCAGAATCTGCAACAGCTAGTGCCAGTGATGGCAGGCTGCATAGGGGACGTGCAGAGAGATGGTGGGGAAGGTCTTGGTACCTCCCTTATCTCCTTGATCTTGGAGCCGCCTTTGCCAATTAGGGACCCGCACTGGCTGGCTGGGACCACCAGCCTCAGCGTCACTGGGGGCTTGCTGGTAGCAGGGCTGTTGCTCATGGAGTTGATGATGTCCTAGGGAGGAAAAGATGCATGTTGGCACCACATCAGTGAGTACAGCTGCATGACTGGGATACTGAGAGGAGTGTGCACAGCATCTGTGCCCTGCACCAGCCCCATGCACCTTGCAGGGCCCATGAATCCCTCCCCGACGGGGAAGGGACACAGAGGACAGGATGGGTGGTCTCCAAGCTGCAGAAGACCTCAGGCAGGGCACACAGATCAAAAGGACACCTGTGGCCGGGTTTGGTGGCACACACCTGTAATCTCAGTGGCTTGGGAGGCTGAGGCAGGAGGATCGCTAGTTCCAAGCCAACCTCAGCAAAAACGAGATGCTAAGCAACTCAGTGAGACCCTGTCTCTAAATAAAATACAAAATAGGGCTGGGGATGTGCTTAAAGGTTGAGGGCTCCCGAGTTCAATCCCTGGTACCAAAAAAAAAAAAAAAAAGAAGTCTGAAGGCCTGGGGGTACGAGGGCTTGCACAGATAGACGTGTGAGGTGGGAGCACTGCAGAGCAGAGACCATCTTGGGTGGGTATGACAAGCGTGACTGCCAAGGGTTGGAGGTGTAGGGTGGAAAGTGGCTGTCTGGTGCCCCGTACTGAGGAGAGAGATGAGTCAGAAGGCAAAGGGCAGCAGAGGTGTGATGATGGGTTGGAGCCGGCCTGCCTGGGTAGCCATTATGTTCAGCTTGTGGTTTTGACACAAAGGAGACATCCAGCTTCTGGTTCAGGCTGGCAACTGATGGGGCAGGCGATACCTCCAGTGTCTGGGTTGTGAAGAAGCAAGGACCTATGGAGACCCAGGCCCCACCACAGTGTGCAGCACGTCCAGAGGGGCTCCCCACGTGCGCTCGCTCTCCACTTGCCCAGCCGTCTCAGGAACGGTCCCTCACAGGGCTCCACCACTTTCCAAGTTATGATTTGTATAACAATTTACTCCCCACCAACTCATGCCTCTCTTCTTTTGAAAACAATACTAAGTCATGAAAAGTAGCACATTAAATCGTTCTAAAGTGACATGTCAGGAGGTGCATGAGGACAAGGAGAGAGGTGTCCCTTTAAAGCAGACCTGCCAGGGCCAGTGGAAAGGCAGCTTCTAAGGGGCTCTCTGCCTGCAGGCTGCACAAGGAAGTCACCAAGAAGTTGCACAGCTCTGTGTGTGTGAAAACCCTGTGACATGTGGGCAAGTCACTCCAGCACTGGAGAGTCTGCTTATAGAGGGAGCAGCTGGGGCACAGGGAGAAGCAAGGATGGAAAGAGAGTCAAAACACAAATGCCTGGGCCAGGCTGTAGGTACCCGGGGAGCTGGGTCCACAACCTCTGTGGTCCTCAGCACAGGAAGTCAAGTCAGAGCCTTTGCAGTGCTTGGCCAAGGACTGAAGCTTCCCTCATGCTTGCCCTGCTTCCCACTCAGGACCATGGGAAAATATGCACTTGCTCCAATCCATCACTAGGAGTCTCTGCTTCTGTGACCCAGCCCCTGCTCCCAGCAGCGGCCCTACCAGGACACGTGGATCGAAGGCTGCCCTTGCTCAGCACAAGTTGACCTCCTGCACAAGTAAGGGTGGCCAGCCCTCTTGCCATAGCTAGCCCTGCACATGTGGCCTCTGCTGCTCCATCCAGGTAGCCTGTTCATCTCCACATGAACCCAGCTCCCACCCAGGTGTGCTTCTCCAGAGGCCCTGTGCCTGCTGTTCCTGTCTGTTGAGCATGGCGGAGTTGGCTCTGGGTCTGGACCCATTCTCAGGCATGGAGCTCCTGGGTTGTGCATTCCCAGCCTGGGGCCTGGTCTGGCAGCTGGTTCCATCTGTTTACCTCCCTGGTGGGTTGAGTCACGCCCGTCCATCCCCCTGCTGGTTTCGGTGTGTTGCTGGTCATGACAAGGAGCCTCAGGGCCAAACACAAGCTGCTATCATCCTGGACTAACAACCACATGGACACACCTGGCTTTTAGATGGAGCTCTCCTCCTTTCAACTGTCTGTGCTGAGAGCTTATTTGATGTGGAGGGACTGTCCCTCTGGTTCCACTGATGGGGTTGGGGTGGCTGAAGGCATGTGGGCTGCAGTCCTACTTGCTGCCAGCTTCCACAGTCTGTCTAAGCCTCCTCTTCCTGAACCTCACCCCCTGAAGCCCTGGTTCCACACCTGCCCATTTGTGGTGTCTCTCCACCAAGCATGACTCGGGCCTTTGGTGACCACTCTGGGAACACTAGACTTGAGTATAACGGTCCATTCAAGAGGAATGTTATAGCTGGGCGAGGCAACTTAGCAAGACCCTAATCAAATTGGTGAGACCTTGTCTCAAAATAAAAATAAAAATGGGGGGCTGGGGCTGTAGCTCAGTGATAGAGCACTTTCCTAGCACCTGTGAGGCACTGGGTTCAATCCTCAGCACTGCATAAAAATAAATAAAATAAAAGCACTGTGCCCATTTACAGCTGAAAAAAAAATGAATAAATGAATAAATAAAAAAAAATGGGCTGGGCTGTAGCTCAGTGGTGGAGTGCCCTGGGTGAAACCCTATATATGGATACCACCTTATAAAAAAAGTGGACAAGGTTTCTCATACCCAGTGGAGCAGCATTTTTTGGATCAGTGTGAATAGGTCTCCTAATGAAATTCTGATTTAAAAATTGCTTCACTGAAAGATTCTTTGGCTAAAGCAAATAAATAATTTGACAGACCTCAGATGCCATCCAGTAGGTCCTCCCTCCTAGCCCTCTAGCACCTGCTGCCCCGATTCCCATCTTTTCAACACCTCCCCCCCCAACTCCACCTCTGCCTTTTCCCAACCATGCTCCTAGGACCCCTGATGCTGAGTACTTGTAGAATCCCCCAACCAAACTGGTGACATAGGCAATTTAAACCTGAACCGGAGCTGAATTAAGAGCTATGATGAAGGATTTCTCCAAACCCAGACAAGATCAACAACTAACAGAGGAATTTGGAACTCTCAGGGCACAGGACTCAGGGTTGCCTTAGGTAATATCAACTTGACCTTCTCCCCACAAATAAACCCAACGGTCAGAAAAGGTAGCAGGGCAAAGTCTCCTAAAAGCCATGTCCAAACACTTCCAGTGGAAATGACTGGAAGAACGGTGCCCGCAGGGAAAAAGACCCCTGGGTTCTGGGAAGACTGGAAGCAAGCTCTGACAGCAGTCAGGCTGAGGAGTGAGGGCCTAGGAGTCCCTCTCCATCCCATCTGCTCAATAGAGTCGAACCTAATTTGAAAACAGAAATTAGATACAGGGAGTGTGTGTGTGTTGTGATCCTGGAGCGGAAACACACACAACACCTGGCAGAACATTTAAGAGGGCTCTAGAACAAAATAAGGCAGGACCAAAATGAACTTGTGGCCCTGCAGCTCACACAGGCAGGCGGCCCCCTCACTGCCACCAGCTGCAGACAAGCACCTGTGGACACTGAGCAGAGGCATCACGGGGGAAGGAGGATCCTATCCTAGAAAGAAAGCCCCCTTGGTACAGATCAGGGAAGAGCACCAGTTTCCTTCCTGCCCCCCCCCCCCGACCCTGGAGCTGGGTGTGGAGGTCTAGGTAGCAGTCTCCCTGGAGCCTGCAGTCCAGGTAGAGTACCACCCTCCCTAGATGCTCCTACAGTCACTTGCTTCCTTGTGTGGGCCTCAGCTCTGCCCTCACCAGTGCGTCTGCCGAGCAGGACAGCCACATCTGTGCACCTTCACTGGGCTCAGGTGCTTGGACTGCCGGCCCAGGGGCACTGAAGAACCACCACCTCTTCCTGGTCCTCAAGAGTAAAACCCACAATTCCCTTGTGGTTTGGTTCTGATGTCATATGCAGATGATCTCCTACCTTGTGTAGAAGACAGGAAACCTGGGAGGATTCTGTTTTCTGCCTCTTGGCCTTGGCAGACCTTGTTGGCAACTTGACCAATTTCCTCAGAATTGAAGCTGGAGGTCATTAAGTCGGGTGATGTGGACCCCCAAGGAAGCCCTAATCCCCACTGTGACCCTTTAGAGATGGAGTCTCTAATGAGGTTCAATGAGGTCCTAAGAATGAACTCTAGCCCAGTAAGGCTTGGGTCCTGATAACAAGAGGGAGACAGCAAGGATGTGCCCACAGAGAAAAGGACCATGAGAAGGTGGCCATCTGCAATCTGAGGGAAGGGGCCTCGGAACAAACCAAGCACCATGATACTTTGATCTTGGCTTTCAGCCTCCAAAACAGAAAACAGTGCCTATTGTTTAAGCCACCCAGCTGTGGGACCTGGTTTTGGAAGCAGCCAGGGCAGATTAAGAACATCACCAGCCTCATCTCCTTAGAACACAGGGCTCCACCCAGCAAGGTCAGCCAGACGCAGGACTTGTACTCATGAGCACCTGTCAACCACCAGACAGAAGGCACGCTTTCAGAGGAGCATGACCTTGGGGCTCTCGCCTCTGCTGGAGCCCCATCAACATATTAGGAGGAGAGGGTGCTCAGACACAGCTTTGCTTCCCAGAGCCGTGACTGCACACAGGGAGAACACAGAAGCTGAGGGAAATGCTCTCAGATCATCACACCAGACACACCTCTCAGACTAAGGCTGTACCTCTAGCTAAACCCCTCAAGGATGTGCGTGTGCGCATTCAGAGATGCTGCTGTGAGCTACCAGCACAAGTCCCTAATACTGAAGAGGCAGGAAGGACAGGAGGTGCATGACCCCTTCCCAAGGTGAACTCCAGTACTGTTGCTGGCTGGTGGTGCCTAATGACAAACACAGATGTTAGTGGAGTTGCCTGTGAAACTACTCATGTAGGAGCAGATACATTGGCCACTATGTGAAACCCACATTGGCAGGAAACTGTGAGACAGTGAGGGCATTTGTGGCCACGTGTCACCTGTCAACAACATAGTTCTGGAGGAACTGTGAAAATGAGGCACGGCTGTGGGCCTTGAGCTCTTGGGGTGGCTCACCAGCTTCCTCCCTCCCTGGGCTGAGTGAGGTGTCTCAGTTATGGCATTGTCTATTTCAGGATGTGTGCAACATTCCTTTC